GCTCTCAGAGATTCAGATAGTAGGTTTTGTAGAGAATTCAATTTTCTATCTTTTGGTATATAAAGGAACTTTTTATTTGAAGAGAAAGTACGAATAATATGCAGTAACATTTAGTCCAGTTTATTATAGCACACCCGTTATAATATTTTGTGTCGATAAGAAGTCGTAACTTTTGATAATTCAATGCACGAAAGTCCTTCAAAGTCTTATTTAGTGATTTCGCATCACTAAATCCCATTTTTCACGGGCTTTCATTTGGTATAAAATTCATCATATCTCCAATTTAGAATTATAGCGTTAAAAGCTTGAATAATATTATTTACCACCCTGTACTTGTCCTTACTTGCCAAGTACTTTCAGAAAGTACTTCTGAGCAATAAGGCAAGTATTTCGATTATTGACAAGTACTTAGCAGGTAATCAAGTACTTGCATCAAGTACGTTCTCTAGGGAGAATAACCTTTAAAACCATATATCATTTAAGGTACTAGTCTTCATACTCTTTGCTGTACTCCTCTAACAAAAGATTATACAATTATCCTATATGTATGTATAACTATATCGTTGTAAAAATAAAAACTCTTGTTTTTAATTATCCTTCCAAATTTTAATATCGAATAAAGTAACAATCAAAATAAGAAAAATCTATAAAATATTTTTAGAAGAACAAAAAATTAAATCAACAAAAACATCACACGGATAAAGAACTCAAATTAATAAATTAGTAATCAAATTTTTAAATGCTTTCATCATCACTTAATTCAATGATCTAAAAATAATTGAAATAAGTCATTTTTGAGATATAAACGAATAGAAGAACTAACCTCATCGATATTTGTAGATAATTGCATTTCACGTAACCCAGTTAAATCTTCTAAATAATTGACCTCATTGAATACTTTCATTAAAAAATTGAAACGTCCTTCTTTGTATGCATGAATTACCTATCGATGGAAGAAAACAATACATCAAACAGTTATTTCATTAGAATATTGAACTGAATAGATAAGTAATGAAATACTCTCTACCTTTGATGAACAGGCAACACACTGACTAAAACCTTCACCACTGGGTAATATTGTAGAATAACGTCCTAAAAATCCGCGTATCTAAAGAAATTTCATAAGGCAAAAAAAGAATATAAAACAATAATCGTTCATGTTGCAGCTTTACCGTATGTGGTACAATACCCAGACAAGTTTGAGCTTGCAATTCATTTTCATCGTTTTTACTAATTAATGCGGGACACCGACCACTTTAGAACAGATGAAAAAGTTGAATACTATTGTTTTTTAGTAGGAAATAAAATACACTAATGTATACTATACCGTAAAGGATGTTGGATGATTGATACAAGTAATTCAACAGCCATGGCACTCGCTATCATTGATATACCCGGTCTTGTCACTGTACACTGTTGATCTAATGTTCGATCAATGGAACTCTTGAAATAGAATATTATACATAAAAACAAAGTAAAATTTGTTTTTTTCATTTATACACATACATTACCAGGTGCAACAACGTCGTTACAAAAATAACAGCCCAGTTTTTCTCCAGCTAATATTGTTTTATCATTGTCAATGATGTCCGCTACTGTTGAAAGTGATGACCGAACACCATGTCGAATTATTACATAAGAGTCGAAACCCAATGCGGCTGTAATAGTTATCTAAAGAAATAAATATCAAATTGATTTGTCATATATTTGCCAACTATATTATATTAACTTTTTCCTCGGCACTAGCAATAAGCGTGGGTAACCATCTTGACTCTCTGGAATCAGTCAATAAAAATACAACATCATGTTCAAATATTAAACTTTCTAATTGTTCAACTTCAGCTTTGACTTTATCAACAATTGAATCTAAAAAAAATGAAATAGTGTCATGTTCAAATAAATTTTGTATTATATAAGTTTACCTGGCACAGAATGACCAGGCATTGGAATATTTAATACAATTGCACTTGATTTCTAAAAAAACAAGACAAAAAAAAACTTTAAAGATTAATACCAGAATGTAATCGCCTTTTTCAATATTGGCAAAATAAGACAAGTAATTGTTTTAATTAGTTGTAAACAAAAGTAAACGTACAACGCCAGGATAAATTGTTTTTAATGAATCAGCGGCTGCATGAGCTTTATATTTATTCTCACATGAATCTTGGAATGTAAATAATGTTTGTCGTACAGGATTTGAATAGGATACACGACCATTATCAACAAATGTTATATGTTGAATACCCCAAGCCTAAATCAACAAAACAACTCAAAATCTACTGAACATTTTTCTATTTCTATATAAAATAATTCATGCGTACCATTAAACTTCGTGCAACATTGCAACCAAGTGTACCAGCACCTAATAATAAACATTTTAATTGTTCCAATGGTTTCAATTCCAATTCGGGAGCCAACCGCCATTTCATTAATTTTAAATTTAATGTAACAGCTGTTTCAGCTAAATGTCTAGGATTCATCGATGTACTTAAATCAACTTGTCTAGGACCTAATCTCTGACGTTCATTTTTCTCCCATCCAGTCATATTTGGCAATTCTAGATTAAACTAAATTGAGTTTTTTCAAAACCATACAATAATACATATATACAAACCATTATTCAATGACTGAGCAATTGATTCGGGTCGCAATTGTAATAATAACGAATGATGAATAATATGAGCTCCATCACGATATTTTTCTCGCCAACAAATAACGTTCAATGTGTTACAATGAGAACTACAATAAATTGCAATGATAAGGATTTTATTGTAGAAATTCTCGAAAAGATACTGCTACATACATGTGATAATATAATAATGTTAATATATTTCTCACTGGCCATCCTGGATGATTTGGATGTGATGATGGATCATTGACAACAAAATAAATTTCTGACTAGAATGTATAGAAACAACATGAATAATTTTCTTCATGAATAACTTCTTTTTTTTTTCTATATACCGTGTTTTGTGGATGATGAATGATATAGTCGATTCCATCTTTTAAACTTAAATACGACCATGACGAAGATGAATAGATCAAACTACAGGCACTAACAATATTTTCTTTAAGACATTTGGCAATTGATAAAATCTATTAAAAAAGAGTAAACAAACTTGAATAAACAACAGTGATCAAATATAAAAACTCTTCTTTTTCTTTACCTCAGAATTCGAAAAACGATCAGATAATTGTTGAATATTTTGAATTAGGTTGTACGATTTTGGAATGAGAAATGCTGGAAATGCAAACCAATAATAATAAACGTACTTTTTTAAATCCTATTAAATAAAATAATAACATATATATATATATAACTCGTGTTCGACAAACAACATTAATAGTTCAGAACTCCATTATCTTAAATATAGTATTACTCACAGCATAAACAAGTAAATAGAATCGATTCATTTTTTGTGGTTCATTCAGTGCTTTACCATGAGTAATATCATGTAAAAGCTAAAGAAGAAACGTTATATAAAAGTACAATTTAAAAATTAAACATCATTTACTTACAAGATTTCCTTCAGATTTAATTATAGAATCAATATCAAATGTTTTAAATTCTTCTATTGTATTAACTAGTTTCAATGTTCCATTGACATTAAACTGGCGATTGTTTAATGGTGGATCACTATATGAAAATAAAGAACAGTTGATAGATAAAATTATTTACTCTAAATACCATACTCAAAACATTGATGATCAACATTGAACAATGGAGGTAAGCCATCATTTGTTTCTAAAATATATATTAGATATTAAGATGATTTTGTATCATTGACTATGAAATCGTGTATTTACCATTTTTATAATAACCATATATATTTTTTTCAGATGAATCAAGACGAAATATGTCTAATTTTCTTCGCGTCAATTCATGCCAAAAACCGGTATCAAATGCACTTGTATATGGTGTAAAGCGTAATGATAGATTTTCCGTATTCTGATCTATCTTATCCATCTACAGCTAAAATATTATACACATTTGTCATATAACAGATTTCTCAATGTAAACATTCAACTTTAAAAATATTTTCGAAAAATTAGTCGTTTATTCAGTAAACAAGAAACAAGTAATGTGTACGAGATATAATATCATAAGAAGTCAAATCTAAAGAATTTATTTCAATAAAGTAGAAAAATCTATTCTATTTTTTATTTTATTTTCAAAGGATTTTGAAGTTGACACTCTACTTTGATATTCTCATCATCATATGAAAAAATTAAAACGAGTAATTTTTTATCTAGCTTAAAAATGAAAACAACATAAACTTGTTAAAAACAAAAGTTTCTATTCAAATAATTCGTTTGTCAATGATATACAATATACGTAAGTTACATAATAATCAACAACAATAAACTGACAAACAAATTTTTAAAGTATTTTCTTTATGTATTTTCTAACGAGTAAAGTCTGCTCTCTGCAACATATCAGAACCGTTAATTTACTTAAATAAGATAAATGAGAGTGAATATTCCATTAAAAAAAAAATAATACCATAAAATAACTTACAAAACGACTAGATTTTTGCGTTATTTGAGAACATACTGAACTATCATCTCTGTTACGTAATGGATAATAATAATCATTCAAGATACTAGTCTTCATACTCTTTGCTGTACTCCTCTAACAAAAGATTATGCAATTATCCTATATATATAACTATATCGTTGTAAAAATAAAAACTCTTGTTTTTAATTATCCTTCCAAATTTTAATATCGAATAAATAACAATCAGAATAAGAAAAATCTAGAATATTTTTAAAAAAAAAGAACAAAAAATTAAATCAACAAAAACATCACACGAATAAAGAACGCAAATTAATAAACAAGTAGTCAAATTTAAATGCTTTCAGCATCACTTAATTCAAAGATCTAAAAATAATTGAAATAAGTCATTTTTTGGGATATAAACGAATAGGAGGACAAACCTCGTTGATATTTGTAGATAATTGCAACATATCAAAACCGTTAATTTCCTTAAATAAGATAAATGAGAGTGAATATTCGATTAGAAAAAAAATAATATGATAAAATAACCTACAAAACGACAAAATTTTTGCGTTCTTTGAGAACATATTGAACTGTCATCTATATTACGTAACGAAAAACCAAAAACATCACCAGAAGGTACGGTTGAGTTTGAATGAAATGATGCCTAAATAAAGACCATATCATTTTTAGTATAATTCAATCATTAAGATGATAAATGTCTGAAAGAACTATAGACGATACAAAATCTTACGTCACTTCGTCGTCGTTTTCTTCTGATCAACTCGGGAGATTTGGCACGATAATCACTATCATCGTTGGTGTGATTGTCACCAATAACAAGATTTGTAGGTGAAACATTTGTTAATCGTCGATTGTGAAACGTTTGTCCATTGATTATACCATCGAGTCCTTGAAGAGAAATAATGAAATGTTGAGTGAAATACATTTGTACATTTTGAAATAGAATAGGTAGATTTAATTAATAACCTACTTCTGTTAAGTGTGGTGAAATGGCTTTCCATGGAATGTTTTAACGAAGACAATGTGTCTCGAATTTCTAGCAATGATAAATAAACAGTGTTAATGAATAAGGATTAGGAAATTAATCACTGGACCAGGCATGGGCAAGTCCGAGTTCGGACTGAAGATTTTTTTAAGGACTCGGACCTTTTTTTGTATCCAGTTTTTGTATCCAGGGCTTAGTAAATTAAAAAAGAGAAATAAACCACCTTCATCAAAAAAGAATCTAAAAGATTACCGGACTCGAAATGGACTCGGACTCAGTACCCCCTCGGACTCGCCCATGCCTGCACTGGACACAACCATTAGCTACATAGTAAAATTATGAATTTGTTCGATAGAATGTAAAAAACATTATACTGGACATTAGAAACGAAAATGCTGAACACATTACTATGCTGTATCATTTTAACTATTCTATATTTGTTCATTACAAATGAACATTTCTGTAAATAGATACATTGGTCCAAAACAGATATGATCTGATATACTGGAATGATTTTTCTAATCATTTAATATAGTATGAAATTTTACCTGCTGTAGTATGAGTATCGTTCATTCTATCACGTTGTGAATTTATAAATCGTCTTGCTTGTATCATTGATTGCGGAGGAGACATAGGTTCATCAGTTGAATCATCGCTTTGAATATTTGGACGTCGTCGTAATATGGGTGAGGGTAGAGTTGATCTCGTTGTTGAATCACTCGAGGATGATGAGGATGATGAGGATGATGATGATATAGAATTAGTTAAACTAACATCTCTGTATTTGTGTTTTCTCAAATAACGTGACAGATGCCAATCATTTTCAGCTAAAATATAAAAAAACAAAAATGTGTGATTAATAGACAAAAAGACGTACAATAACAATATTTTTCATACACGACATCATAGAACGAAACAATTCATCTAGTGTAGATGGTAACTGATTCTGTTCAGGTAATAATGTTCTCATCAAACATAAAGCATGTTTGAGTATTTTTGGCTTCATATCGGTTTTCAAAACAAAATCAGTTATTTTTTTTAATGCCTGTTTTTTCGTTAGATTTGAATGTTCATATAATGGTATATCATTCGAATTATCAACAATTTGTTCTTCATCGCGGTTAACCTTACGAAAAAAAGAAATGAAGAATATTTTAAGTTCTTTTGATCCTCTTATCAGCTCTATGTTTTTACCTCTATGTTATTATCGTCGGTTTGAAAATGTTGTCCTACGAGTACTGGTGACAAATGTTGTTCCGATGACATTATATTTCTAATCTAGAATAAAGTCGAAAAATGTAACACGAAAAAGAATGTTTGTGGTTTTAATAGTAGACGACATTCGACTTCTAACTATTCTTATTTCTCAAATATAGAATCGATAGATGGTAGTAAAAGAGTATCACCCATCAAAAGTGTATCAACTTCCTTTTATGGAATGGATAATACTCATAGTTTCAAACTACAACTCATTTTCCACAAAATAATCGATGAATTTTCTTTCAAAAGTAGATTGATATCACTGGCTCTCAGCGTTTTCGTTATAACTTTGGCAAGGGTGGAGAAAGTTTTATGGAGCAACTCTAACAATTTAGCTGATAACCAAAAAAACAGTCTTTTAACTTTTCGGAGTAATTTCTTTTTTACTAGGAGTGAAGTTTTTAAAATGAACGGAGTAATTGTTTCAAATAAGGCGGGGGAACTCCCCCACCTAATCGAAATTGTTGCTGGCTCTATTCTATATTTGATATAATGAGACGCGTAAAGATTATGATTTCCACTAACAAGATAAGTGTTAGATAAGAGTGAACAATTGAAGCCCTAAACTCTACAAACGCGACGGTTTCTACATCACTAAAAAATAACTAGCTGATATAGACGACTATAAAACACAAAATAGAAAGATGTTTCTTGTTTTTAATATAATACATTTCTATTGTTCATTCAACATCATTTGTTTTGAACAGTTCCAGCAATAATTTTATTCGATCAACATTCTCTTGCATTTGTTCTCCTTGTTTTTTTCATTGAATTCACTCATTTGTCCTCAAAATATCGACTTTATTATTCATATTCATTTAAAGAATTAATATAACCGTCAATGTGCTAATCATAGCATCGTCACTATTAACAATGATAATTTTATTTTCTCGAAAAATAAAATGTAATAAATGTCTACTGTGTTCATATTTTTGACGATTTCAGCTTATTATCAATTTTCTATGACTATCAGATATCGTTTAAGAAAAAGTAATCTAAAACAAACATGAAATTGTCTATGTAAGAGAAATGAGTTTAAGAACAGACACACTTGGTGACCGAGAATGTAAGAAAGACAAACAGAAACAATAATAGAATAAATTTTAAGAAAAAAATTCTCAAATTTTTGTAAAAAAATAAATATAAATCTATATAATAATACAAAGTAAAATATGATCATTCTCTCTCTCTCTTTTATCACAGTGTCAATCAATTTATTCGTCCGATAAACCTTCCGTCCACTCAATTAGTTCTGTTACTTCCTTATTCTTCTTATCAATATTATCATTAATATGATATTCATTTCCTTGTTCCTTTGCTGTTGTTGGTCGTTGATGAAGAGAATTCAACGATTCATGGGTTAAATATGATTGTTTTTTATATTTTAATTGTTTTAGTTTTTTTGATTTTTGATCTGTTAAATTTCCATATTTTAAACGATCAAATTGTAATGCTCGTTCATCTAGTTGTCGAGCTAATTCCCATGGTCTTAAAGCAAGATGTTGTGCTTGTAATTTTGGATGTAAACTCATTGTTGTTAATAAAGGATTTTCATCATTAATTTTTGATTTTGATGTAGCGATACCTTTCCATGTATTATAATAATCTTCAAATGATATTTTATGCTGATGGCTGTGAGGTCTTGTCATTGTCACATGAGAACGATAATGAAATTTTTTCGCTATCACATTGTTATTGTCTAAAAATAATTAAAAAAAAGAAAACTGTGATTAGCTGGCTAAGTGTTGAAATTGCTTATTAAAAAATTCACTTAAACCATTGTCAATATAAGTTAGACAATGTATTGTTCTCTTCTCACCTTTAGTAGAATCCAATGAGTGCATTGCGGTATTGTTTAGTCTTTTGTCATCTGTCGATTGAAATAACTGACTTTTTTGTATGCAATCTTCTATAATCAAATGATAATCGTCCGGACGATGTTTTAACATTCGCATGGCATCTGAATTTATAACTGTATGTTCATTTGGTACGATAAATATATTTACTAATTCATCTAATAATGATATTAATGTGTAATGAGAATTCCATTTCTCAATACATGAAAGTTTAGCACGTCCAGTAATAGGATCAATATTTGGATGATAAGGAATAAATGATTCAAATTGAATTAATGGTGGTTGAAAATTATATGTAGCATTGAACAATAATTGAACACGAAATATACAACCAGACCATAATGAATGTCTATTTGGACGAATATTTAATGTTACATCAAAACAATTCTCACTCTTAGTTTTTTCAAGTTCAATACCATTTATTGGATATGATTCTAATAGTAATAAATCACGTTTAATAAGAAGATAAGCACGAGAATGCATTATAATCTAAAGAAAGATTTTATTTAGGAATAAGATTGTAACTGATACTTTTAAACAAATGTATATTAAATATTAAATATTTTCTCTATGATCTTCCTCTTCCAAATAATATAGTCATATTATTAAATTTGCAGAAAACAACAATTTACATTTTCTTTACCTTTCAAGATAAGTATCCGTCTTTCTTTTTAAAATATGCCTAAAGTTCCATGTGTTGAAATACAGAAAATAACAAAACAAAACATTAATCAATCATAAAATTGAAATATCTCGCAGAATTATTTAACAAATAAGTACACAATTCGGACGAAAAAACATATCGTTGGGAAAAAAACTCCTGCCAGAAAAGGCAAAAATAAATCTATTAAATAAAACCCAAATAATTTTCAGAATAAAAACAACTGACAAATAAGAAACACAAACATATACCAAAAAAAATGTTTACTGATATAAAAGCATATAGCAAAAGTGAAATAATTAATAATAGTCTGTATTTTGCAAAATAATAATGTTAAATGCTCTCAATAAAACCAAATCAGTACATATAATGAGCATTATTTCATTCATAGATCAAAATATTCTTTTTGACAATTGATTCGTCATGCCTTAAAAAATAGACTTAATTCTCTCATGACAAAAATATGAGATTCAGACATATGTGCTAATTTTCCTAAAAAGGATTTAAGACTAATTCATTCATCTCTTCACTTGGAGTTTCGTCGTTATTAAATGATAATTTAGAATCATTATTAGTCGATATTGTCTGATTCATTGTATTACTATTATAATTTGTTTTTATATTATTTAAATTTTCAAATAGCAAGTCTTTTTTAATTGATGTGTGATTATTTAATGATGTTGTTTTCGATGATGATACTGATGATGTGAGAGCAATAAACGGATTTGCATAGACATTTTTTGAAGTAGTAGCTGGCGATTCCCTAGATAAAAAAGCAACAACATATATTTTAGAATTTCTAAACAGTTAAACGTATAAAAATCAATTATTTACCATTTGTTATTTATCCATTTCATGGCACCTATTCGTCGTGTTCGTGGATGAGAAAATGCACAAGATGGCCTCATACAATTTAATCCAAATTTACATACCTAAAATAAGTGAATATTATTCATTGTCTCACTGAAACACTGTTAAACAATAAACTTACTATTGAATTTTCTGGACGTGGAAATCGAACAGTAGGAAGTGCGACTAAAATGAAACATTTTATCTTGAAATATAAAATATCTCATCTCTTTCTTTATAGATATCTATACGTACAATTTGGAGTTAAATTATTATTTGATGACGAACGATTTATTGATGTTTGTAATATTGGCGACAATTGTGAAGGTGAATTAGTCAATGCAACTGTTGTCGGAGCTATAGTTGTTACCGCATGAGAATAAAGACAATCATTTCTTGAACAATTTGCACCAAATTTGCAAGGAGGATGCATATACAAACAATCATTTCCATACGCACAATTTGGAAAATGTCTAAAAGAACAATTGATAATACATTATACCGTGAAAAAGTTATTGACCACATTTATCAATATATAGAAATTGATCAACTAACTATATAGAAATAAAAAGTTTTCAAACATAGATTTCATCGTCACAGACAAACTAAGTTTTACAATATAAACGTTTCGGTTTTACTTAAACGTTCATATTAATGAAAGTTTAAGATATGATTGGTTGTGCATAATTTTCAAACAGTTGCTACCTCTACAAATTTGTTACTTACCCACAACGTTGCGTTGGATGAAAAAATTCACAATTCGTTCCGTTGTGACAATCTGGCCAAAATCGACAACGTTTTATTTTTCGTGATGTTGATGTCGAAAATGACGATTGTGGAGATATTTGCGACTGTTGCTGCTGTTGTTCACTATTATCATCACACATATCCTGACTAAGTTTACGTTTCAATGTTGTTGTAACGGATGTCGTTTGTGTTGGTGTACGAGTATTGTAATCATTAACAATTAGCAAATGATTTGAAGTGTTTGATAGTTGTTGTTCATTAATATTGCCATTATTATAATAACTATTATCTTCGTGTTGAGATTGATCATTGTAATCTTGTAACATCCATGATTCTGTCTCATACAATGATGATAAATCAAATTCACCCATTGTATCCGAATTGACAACAACAATAAAATCTTCTTCATCATCTTCATCATCATCTTCGAATGAAACTGTTGGTTTTGATTCTTTAATATTAGTTTCACTCGTTTGATTAGGTGATATTGATAAATCACTATTACTATTTTCATTATCATTCGTAATACTTGAATTTAAATTATTATTATTTGTTCGACAATATTCATTTAACACTCTTATTTTCATTTTAGATGTTGTGGTTGGAGCGACTGGTGTTGTCGGAAGAATCATTGACGGATTGTGATTACTGTTGTTAGTATTATTTTCTTGAACAACCTTTTTTATCATACTAGAAGGATCAACCCATGTTGCTTCATTATTTCCTAGTCTTCTTGCTAATAATTTTGTTGTTATACATTCGGTTGTACCGTCTGACTTCACGACTTTGACTGCGCCGGTTTTTTTATTCATTTTCATTAATACAGATTTATTTGCATCTGTTACAGCTTTCAAAAGAAGTTTTTTCGAAGGCTGATTAGGCATATGTAATTTTTTCCGTTCGCCAACATGAATTGTACTATGTATCAATGGACTTGTAGAATCATATTCTTCTTCTTTATGGTGTTGTTGATTGACATCTTCTATTTGATTTTCGTGTAATATAGTGCCTATTTGTGAATAAAGTGTACGTTGTTTCTTACTTGAATGCTCTTGCTGTTTATTATTACTTGTTCTTGACGTTACTATTGACGGATGCGAAATACTATCACTAGATGTTGATCCAACTAAACGTCTTCCACTCGTCAATATTCGATCGCTAACATTTGAAGTTGTACTACGGATAACTTGTCTTCCACTTGATAATACTTTATATAAACTTGATCTGCTATTTTGTTCATGATCGTCTATTTCAGTATCATCCATTAGACTAAGTAAAAGTCTAAAATAAAACAAATAAATCTTTGTGATCATTAGTGTAAGTTAGCTTCAGTATTTCAGCATATAGAGAAGAACTAATATATATTTTTGTACTATACAATTTCTGTTTGGTGTTCAAAGATTCGCTTTAGTATGACTGTTAACTCGCCTGGAATTTATACCGTATATTATTCGCCATTTTTATTAACAATGCAATATAGAAGAGACTTGAGAAATAAATATGTTTTCGTCTAGGAACATCGCAAAAAGCATTTAAGAGGATGCTTTCTTTCACGATCGCCCACTGAATCCTAATGATGGAACGTTCCATAATGAACCAAAACATTGTAAATTTTTAATTCAAAAAAAGAAAAGTATAGAAAAGTAAACTTTTTTCTGAATTACAAGAGAAAAAAGAAAAACAAACCGTCAAATAGAAAAAATTCATCTAATAAATGACTATGAAAAATGGGTAATATCTAAAAAAGAAAGTTATTCTACTTGGCGCTTAATGCATTTGCTATGGCTGTTGTTGCCGATGTACTATCGTGTTCTTCATTTTTGGTATTATTATTTTTCTCTTTATTACTTGCATATAGTTTCGGATATTTTGAAAAACATTCTGTCAAATTTTGAAAATCGCCAAAACACTCAGATCCTTTTGGTTTTGCATCACTGTAATGGAAACATGTAAATGCTTTTCGAAAAGCATTGCCACATGGACCCGAGGCCATCCCTCCCAGACACGGACAATCGAAGTTTATATTGCCATTCGGTAGGATAAGACCTAGAAGCAAAAGAAAATGAAATAATATTCTATCATATCTATAATAAAAAATGTTTCTCCTACCGTGTTGTTCCCACGGATCAAACGCTTCTTCATTCTTTTGTTTAATTTTAGATGGTACATTTAAATCAGATTCTGTTAGAAAAATAACCTTGTCTTTACCTTCTTTACCTAAGGATAACAAAACAGTAAATTCACATAACAGTAGATAAAACTTCTTTACCTTTTGATACACAGTAAGACATTATGCCTTTTGCAGAGACAACAGCAACAACGAGAATCTATAAAAAAGGAAAATAATCCACATAATAAATAGTTCTCAAATCAGTGTTTCTAATGAGCTCTTCTCGCAACGTGTATATATCTGGAAGGCTGTTATTGTAAATGTTTTCTGAATGCATACTGTTCTAAGGTAGGATTTTCTGTTCAAAACAAGATAGGATCTCTCGTTGCTGTCAGTAGATCAAAGAAACTTGGCTTTGGAGCTTTTTAATTAGCATTGCACTAATCAATCAGATCACGAGGAAAGATGGATAGCTTTAGAGATTAAGAGCGCTTCCACCTGTTAATGGGATCCCATTCAAAGTTTTTGCTTTTCTCTAGCAAAATAGAGCCTACTATTTTGACCACAGGCACCGTTTTTTAACCTGTTACCTCAGCGATAGTTTTGGGATCCGTCAACACCTACGTAGAAATCTGAAGGTCGCGATATCTCGGAACATACACTTTTGTTTTTACTATGTACACTTACTATTAGAAACACAGTATTAAATACAAATGAAAACCCCACAAAGTGTTCGGTCTGAGAGCACTTTTTTTTACCCTATATCGTTTTCTAGAGTCATTGCTTCAGTTTACTGAACGGAAAATTTCGTGGTTTTTTGCTTTATTTATTTTCTGTCGTCATTCTAACCTTATATTCTGCTCATTGTAAATTTTTCTAGTCAAAGTATTTGTCCGTCGAGTTTTCAAAGAAAATTGATTCACAAGACGCTGATTAATTAAAAGATTTCGTAACACAATATTACACTTTTATCAAACTAAAATCAGTTATAAAACTATATTATCTAAAGCTTGAATACCAAAGTCGGTTTAATGTAATCACTTTTCTGTTCTGCGTTTCCGCTATTACGTATACTTGGTCTACAGACGGTTATACTATAGCAGGTATACGTATTTATTATTACAAGCTCGATATTATGATTTTATATATTTAGTCTCCGTCCAGTCAAATAGAAAAAGATAGGTTGGTTCAAAGGCTTAACAAATGTAAAAATATAAGAAGGTCCTCATTCAAACAGGACAAGTGACTATAGTCTAATAGCTTTGCTAATAGGTTTATAACTATACATAAACAAATGACAGAAAGATTAGCTTAAACAAAATTTTGGTGTGGAAGTAATTAAGTGAAAGTGCTTAATGGCAGTGGCGACATTCTTGTCATTGGTTATTAAGTGTGCTTCTCGTAAAGAAGTAGAGATTTTTCTTTGTTTGATGTTTTACTAGCGCAAAGTGCGTTTGTCTTTTTATTTATATTCTATGATTGTTTACTGCTAGTTATAGCTAATTATGTTCCAAATATGAGTGATTTGTTTCTATCTTTGCTCATCATAATCACTTATGTATATATCTGACAGAAAATATTGAATTTTGCTTACTAAACTGATTGGTTTTTATAGAGAATTTGAGAAGTAGATTATAGGCCTTGACCGTTGAGAAGTCTTGGACCTATGTGAATGCTGTTTTCGAGTTTATTATTTCGATGTCTGTCTAACGTTAACGGTTCCAATGCATGAAGAAAAACGATGTTTTTGGACCGTAGTAAAGACTGTTCAAAAGTTATTTCCATACTAAGTAAGATACTGGTAGATATTAAGTGATTTTCGTATGTTCAGTTTGTCTTAATTATAGGTGGGATTTGGATGTGATGTTATTTTATGTAGTCACATCTATTAATATAGCCACAAATTATGTAATAATATAATACGAGGTAGAAAGATTCAATGATGATGTCTGTACTTTTGGAAGGTAATTGTACCAGAAATCGTCTGCACCTTATTTCTTCATTGATTATTTTTTTCACTTAAGACAGTATTTTTTCTACTATAATCTCTACACTCTGTTTATTTTATTGTTGTGGTTTTTTCAACCTATGTATAGATGCACCTATGTCTATATATATATATGTTGACTAACACATAAGTAACGGCCTATTTCTACTTTCTTTATATCGTCAAAAAGGACAATACAGTTTATATAGCGTTGTAAAGATGAATCTTCAAAATGAATCATTTACTCTATGAACATTTTATTATCATGTCACTGAGAGTTTGATACTTTCTCTTCTTTTTCTTCCTCACTTAATGATGTTCAAGATTGTTGCGAGAAAAGAAAAAAACGAACGAAAAACAAAAGATTATTATTGCACATGTCGATCAATCTGAATCAATAGTATTATTTTGAAGAACAAAATATATCTGTCTATCAATCTGTATAGGTAGATGGGTAGGTATAGTGCAGAAAATGGAAGAGCGTAACCTTATTCTCAGCATCATGAATGCATGAGACTCATCTCATATTTTAAAAAAATGTTTTTGTCTTATAATAAAAAAATATCGTAACAACGTAATATTATAATTTTCGATTCAGTTGCTGTTGCTTCATTTTTTTTACATTGTGTTCTTTTCATTATTGTTGTGTTGTATATCTGTAGGAGAAAGAGAATAAATGGTGGATTCCTAGTTAGAAAGAGAACAGATATGTATTATATCGATAGAAGGTTACGTTTAACGCACATGACTCGTTTCAATGGTTGTCTAATTATAGTAAATAACACCGTTAGCTAAAAACACGTTTCGACATAAGAACTTTGAAGATATAGCTTTGTCGGATATTATCTCACACTTAATTTATCTTCTAACGAGAATGTAGTGTATTATCTAAAAGGTACCTTAGATTTGTTTATATTGTTTACATAGACCATTTGATTGTAAAGTAAAGTCTATTTAAAGCAAAGTTCAAATGAGTCTTGGGTCTCCAATCATGTTTTAAAGACAGTTTCTTACTATGTGTCAAAATGTGACTATTATGATAAGATTAGAAGGAAACAAACCAGTTTGAAGAAAAACGAATTATACGATGTGTCCAACTAACGGTCATCCTTCGGGTCAGAAGGTTTGAATCTTTGTTTTCACTCGAACAGAGGTTGAAAATACATCGTTAGACGCAGTTTTTCGCGTTGATTAGGATTCGGAGGTTAAAAACAAATTAAAGGTTTAATTTTTAAATTATAAACTTCATTTCCTGACTGAGCTGGATATATTTTTTAAAAATTCTAGAAACTATACCATCGAGTAGAGAATCAAATTCTCTACAAAATGTTTCATTTATTTCCATGTTTGGATGCTAAAATGTTTTTTTGATTTTCTAAAAAAGTTTTAGCGCTTATTTTTTGAGCAATTTTATCAAGGGGGGAAAAGCATACTTCTGGTACTTCTCCGTACTTCTTGATACTTCTTCGTACTTTTTTGTACTTCTCCGTACTTCTGAAGTACGAAGTACGAAATACGGGATTTCGTATTTCGTACTTCGTACTTCAGAAGTACGGAGAAGTACAAAAAAGTACGAAGAAGTACGAAGAAGTATCAAGAAGTACGGAGAAGTACCGAGAAGTACAGAAGTATGCTTTTTCCCCCTTGAATTTTATGCTCATTTAGTGTAATTTTGAAACTTTATTTTTTGGTTGCATCGAATAGACATCTCAAACTCTATCTATGTGCAAATCAGAGCTTAGTAAGTAATGCTGTGGCAGAAAAAATATATACCAAGAACCATCTGCAAAGAAAAGCAAAAAAGGTGAAATTCCGTAACGGTCTCTATTTTGACAATAACTTTTGATCCGCTTGGTTAATTAAGTTCAAATTGTTTTTGGTAATAAAACCCTCTAATATCCATCACTAATATAAATTTCATCGATAAGTGCTGCTTCCTTGCCGAGATAAGGGGCGCAGAAGACAAAAAAAATGAAATTTCATAACATTTGGCTACATATTATACTACCGTATAGTATAATATGTTTCAATGTCTAGCCGAACAGCTATCTGTTAAAGTTATCAAGTCGAAACTTTTAACTATTAGCATCCTTTGTTTTACTGTGTTGTTGTCTATGTTCAGGAAAACGAAAACTTAGTAGCCGTACGTATATTAACATACATCGACAATTGTCTGAGATTGTGTGCTTGTTTTTCCTTGAATTGAATATCATAAAATGATCTATTGTTACTTGGGGGATTTTTTTATAGTTATAATAATTATTATATTAAAAATTACTTTATTACTTGAACAACTAAAAAGCGCGATGACATCCTGTTTACACACATATTTAGTAGGAGAACGTCTCGAGCATATGTTGAATAAAAGTGATGACGGCGCAGTCTAATTCTTATTTAATAGTATTTGATTATTATTGTCATCATCTAGATTATTTCTGTCTTTATCATTGTAGCACGTCTTCTATAACAAAATCTATCTTAGAAAGCAGATTACGTATGAAAGACAAAAGAATTATCTTAGTACATGTACCGTACAATAAATGTCTTTTTTATCATGTCGTAATTAGAATATAAAGATTTTGGATTTTTAAATTTTTTTAGCACGGTGTAATGTTTATTTTTCATTCGACAAGAAAGTATTTGCCATCAAAGATTTCCTGCAGAAATAAAAATCAGCTGATGTTGGATAATGATACTATTCTTCTATGTTTTTGATTAGGTAAGTGAAATTTATATTTTTTTACGAGATTCTTTCAAGTGTGTGATTGTCGATTTTGATCTCGGTGTTTTGGGCTGGAGTTGTCTACAAGAAAAGTAGGAAAATTGAATTGAATTTTTTTTTGATTTTAACGCTGTAATAAACAATAATCCGTTGACAATAAGATCGGGATTTATAGAAAGTCAAAAGCTTAAGAAAAGTTGTTTGGTGTTGAGTAGCACTTTTTCATGTTTTTTTTTTTTGTTTGTATTATTTGATCTAATGATCAATTCTTTTTTCGTTTGAGACAATGACTTTTTTCTAAGTACGTATGTATCTTCTTTTTCGTCGTCGTTTCTATATGTATTTATGCACTTGTTTAAATGAGCTTTACTATAAAATACAAATGTAAATAAATTTTTCTGTTCATACAAGTGTTTGAGTGAGACACATCTTCCTTCTCATCCCAATTTAATACAAACAACATTTTTTTTGT